TTTGCTTACTGGCCATTTGAATTTCTTAACTGTGAAGACCAACTTATTCACAATTTCTGTCCCCTTCTCTACCAGGGCATTTCAGCACACATTTACCACAAAGCAAAATCCACAGCTGGGCTACAAAGGAGGAGCAAAGAACAGAAAGAACTATGAACTTAAGTGAAACTCAAGTTGTAAGCTAAAAATAACATCACTAAAGGGCACCCAAGCAAAAGTGATGAGAAAATACTATTAAAAAGGACATTTTGCCTCTCATGCCCTGGCCAAAAGCTGTGGTTTTTCTCCTCTGGAAAGGGAAACAGAATCTTTGGACTGGGAGCACCCGTTACAGTAGAGGATGGGAAACCATTCTGAAGACAGAGGAACTAAGTTGTTCCATAATTACTGCTAAGACTGTAGCCTTCTCTCCTTACCTGGCCCCCTGAACACAAGCAGCCAGGCAAGAGGCTGGAAGGTATTTTTCTGGAGAATCCAAAGAGACCCAAAGAAGCTGACAGGATGCTGTAAGGAAATGGCCCAGCCAGGTGCCCCTGAAGTGAATGCCACAGTTGGCAAGCCCCAACCACAGGCTCAGAGGCCCTCTGACATATGAGCAGGCACAAAAACATCACCCCACAGCCCACAAAAGGCTCTGACATGAAAGCCAAAATCCCCAAACAAAAAGCAGCCTGAAGCAAACAGTGACTTCAGGGAAAAGAAAACTTTAAAACTCACTAATGTCCTCAGATAAGGGGAGATACTACATCCATGAAACAAAAACAGGTTATAAAACAGGAATAGAGAGAACAAGAGAACATTCTTAGGAGTAAAATGAGAAAAACTCAATAGAAGGGCTAGAAGATCAAGTTGAGAATGTCTTCCAGAAAAGAAAATAGAAAACCTAAGAAAATCAGAGTGTCAATCCAGAAGGTCCAATAGTTGAATTCTAGAGAGAGAAAGTGAATGGGAAGAAATCAAAGCAATAATGAAGAAAAATACCCAGAGTTGAAGAATAGGAGTTTCCAAATAAAGGGGCCCAAACTGTAGGTAAGACATTAGATGAAAACAGACTCCAAGGGATGTCATTGTATTGGGTGTTTTGAATTTCACAGAGAGAAAATTCCTCAAGCTTCAAAGAAGAAAACAGTCATACATAAAGGCTCAGGCAGCAGAATGGCTTAAGACTTCAACAATAACACTGGGAGATGGAGGCAAAACAGTGTCCAAACTTGCACTCATGTATAAGGACAGAATGAAACACTTTCAGACACACAGGTTCTCAAAACTTGACCTCCCACACATCTTTTCCAAGGCAACTTCTTGAAGAAGTGCTCCATTAAAATGTGTAAAAAAAAAAAACAAAAACAAAAACAAAAATCAAGAAAGAGAAAGACATAGGTTCCAGGAAACCGAATACCCAATGCGAAAGGGGAGTGAGATCTGCAGGGAGATTCCAGCAGGTTGGAGGCCTGGGAGAGATTTATTCAAGATGAGATTAATAGAGTAATGAACTTCATCAGAAGAAAAGGACTGGATTTCTTGAAAGGAGATTTAGACAACTGGTGAATTTTAGTGACGAATACACAGAAAAGTAAGCAAACAAACAAAAAACAAACAAGACTTATAAGAACTTCAGGGAAAACAAAAACTCATCCAGGAAAGAAAATGTAATCCCATCACACCATTTGGCCTAGCTGTAAATGGTCCTAGGTAGTCATAGTATAAACACTAACTACTGAACTAACCAAATTAAAGATGCACCTGCTCTGGGCAGCCATGTATTTGTCTGCAAAGAGAAGGCATAGTGTGCAAGATAGCTAGAAACCTCACATCTACTTCCAGACTCAAATGAAGAGCTATTGTGTGAAATAGGGAGGGAAGAGCAAGATGTGAGCAAGTCAAGCATATACGCTTTTAGAGTTGGAGGCAAAGACCAAAGGAATCAGCGAAGAGGCAACCGTGGGTGCTTTGCAAGGGACGAAACACGATTGGGTGAAGGAAATTTGTAGTTTTTCCTTACTAGCCTGTCTAGATTTATTTGACCTTTTAAAAAATATATGAAGATATAACTTTGACTTGAAATAAAACTTTTTATTTCAAAATTCATATGAATGCCAATAAAAACAATTAAGGGAAAGTATGCATGGTCAATGTATTGTTCCCAAATTAACAGCGAGCGTCAACAAGATGACTAACACGACATGATGCCCAGACCCGTCTGGAGCATGTCTGGCTCATCCTCAATGGTATTCGAGGAACCTGAGCCTGCCTGGTAAAACAACAGCCTACTAGCCCACTTTTAAAATGTCTCTGATTTTAGAAATAAAAAAAAAAAAATCTTGCTTTAGCCCAAAATAACTTGTATAATCAATTTTTAAAATGTCATGTACATGAAAAGAGTTTAGTTCTTTTCTTGGTTTTCAAATGTTGAATGTTATGGCATTCTGACACATTAGGGTTCTCTGACTGCTTTTCTATTTGGTCAAAAACTTTTAAACACACATCTTAGACTTTTTGCTGCGGTAATTCGGCAACTGAGAATTCAGCTGTGTTGTTATGTTTCTTCCAGGAGCTTGGTTATTTCTTAACAGAAAAGGAAAAGCCTTCCTATGATCACTAGCTCTGTGGGCTAGATGTATGCTGAAGGGGCCATACCAAATATAAGGATCACATGGTACTTCAAAAAGCATGTGCTCTGCTCAAGACCTTTTGGTAAATAAGTTTCAGTTGGGAAGCATTAATGACGAATTACCTGATCCACTTGTGACTGAAGAGCATAAATCATTCTGGTGGAGAGAGTAATCATTTGAAACCCGGTCCAAGTCAGTGTCTTAGATAGGACTGACTGAAGGGCATGAAGTCCTTCACAACGGATTCTCAGCCAAGCCCTCCACCTTTTAGGATGTCAGCTGTGTACCAAACTGTCAACCTCTTGCCCATATATGCCAGCAGCTATAGCTGTCACATGTTCCCTTTGCATAAGCTAGTCTTCCTGTCTAGCCACCCTATGTTGCCGACTCCACCTGGAAAAAATCTTACTCATCCTCTAAACCCCAGTTCAAGAACACATTCTTTGTTGAGACTTTCCAACAGGCAATTACTGCCCCCCCTTTCCTACCTCCATACTTTGTACATATTTCTACTACTGTAGTTACAACACTGTAATCTAATTACTCTTTTACAAGCGAATCCCCCATACTAGACCATAAGCTGCTTAAGGAAAAGGAAAAAAAGTCGATATCCTCTTTTCCTTTGTATCCCCAGAACACTTAACAGCATCTGGCATAGAGCAATTTCAAACAAATATTTTTTGAATCGAACTGTTGAAGAAGTCATGAGGCCCAAGTCAGACAACCAGAAGCCCCAAACAACAAAACCAAAGGAAAAAAATAATTGATGATTCGAGGAGAAATTCTCCCATCAGGCCGCTGAGAAGTCAGCTTGGCCCATGGGAGAGGGCACTGTGACAGGGATCCAGCTGGGCCTGGAGATGCGGAGGAATGTAGGCCAACTGCATCTTAGGAGTCTCTCCTTACACTCACTCAACAGTCACCCAGGTGAAGTTAACTCTATTAGACAAGACAAGGCAAGCCCCCAAACAGTGCTTGGCACATGGCAGAACTAATGGCAGTTACAGGAAAGTTTAATCCTCGTTGCAAATTATTTAACTAGCTTTCAAATGTTGTCCCTCAAGACTTGACCGGCTGTGCTCAGTTTTCCCCAAATCTAAAACTTTCATAAGTTGATGACTGATGTTTCAGACCCAGAGAACTGGGAATTCAAACGATGGACACCGTTCTTAACCAAATACCTTCTCGACTACTTTAATACACTGCTTCCAAGCATCCTAATATTAAACGGACTTAATGAGTTTACCTTAGGAGTACTCAGTGTGCCAAATGATCAAAAGATGAACCTAAGTACTAGGTGTCACCCAATGTTTCATTATCCCAGGTTTGCTTGCATAGACGAACATTAAGCTACTTCATAGTATGGCACTACCAGCTGCCTCAAACAAAATCCTAACTGTGACATACCCTATCTTAACAGGGCCTTAAGAAAGTTACCTGCCAAGAAAAGTGACCTACTGTCCCTGAGCAGACACCAATCACACGTGAAGTCACTGCCTCAGCGCTTCAGGTAGCTATGAAACTGAGGACACATAACAAACCCAAAACTAAAGGGCAAGTCACCCTTGTTACAGAAGATCCTGACTCTTCTATATTTCTTCGGATGTTTCATTTGACCATAAGCATTGGTTAATAAACAATACCTAGGTCCACTTTTTCTTTGGTTTTACGTGGTATCCTACCCAAACCCCATGCGAAGTCTGACCCTCTCCTGTTGTAGGTCGGACGGGAGAGAATATCTGGCGGCTGGCCTCGAGCACCTAACTGCTGTTCACAAAACGCCCTCTCAGTGTGTCCTGCCGCCCGAAACAACACTACCCTGTCGCCCACGCGTTTGCTTTCAGTCGGGGTAACCGGCACCGCAATGGGTATCCGACCGCGGCTGGGCCTGCAGGCCGCGCGGCGGGGCACCCCGCTCAGGCCCCGGCCCGGCCCGCCGCCCCTCCATACGGAGCCACATCGTCGCAGTGCGCCGCGGGCACCCCAGGTCGCATCGCGCGACCGCCAGCGGCCGCGCCGCCCCGCCCTCCCCTGGGCGCAGGCCCCGGCCCGGGGAGCACGAAGGCCACGTCCCCGGGGACGAGCGCCCAACTCTACGGCCCGCGTACGGCCCGCCGGCCCACGTGACCCGCGGCAGCCAATCGAGCGAGAACCCCAGCCACCGAGACGACGGCGGCCCTGGCTAGAGCAGCCCCACCCGGCCGCTCGCCATCCCCTCCCCAGACGCGCTCTGGCGCTCCCGGCTCGGTGCTGCCGCCATCTTCCTGGAAGAGAAGGCCGGAGGCCAAGGCTCCCCTCCCCGCGGTCCCCCACACTCTTACCGCCACCTGCCCCCCCACCCCCGCGCCCGCCTCTCTTCTCAGCGGTCACTTAGCTCCTTCTATAGAAACGCCCTTCCCCCACTCTAGTCACCCACAAGGCGAAGAATCAGATTACCTGTTCCACTCTTATCAGCGTAAGCAAACCAAGCTCATAAGGTAGGAACTGTGGCGAAACAGGGGCAAGCCGCCATCTTGGTAAAGGAGAAGAGGCTACGCTTGACCTCCCCCCCCCCCAGCCTCTATATGGCTAACCGCCGTGGGAGGGGCACAGCGCCTGCGCAGAGGCGGAAAACGCGGACAACTCTGCGCCTGCGCACTCGGAAGTCATCGAATGGGGGAGAAGAGGAAAGCCGAGTCTCGATGGGGCGAGGAAAGAGTTGGCAAGGGGGCGGGGCGACGTGATTACGCCATCCGCGCGCGGGGCGGGGCGCGAGCGGGCAGCGGGCAGCGGGCGGCGGGCGCTGGGCGGGTCCGCGGAGCGGTCGGTCGGCGCCTGTTTTTCGGCTTGTCGTGGGTGAGTGTTTCGCGGTCCGTCCCCGCCGCCGCGGGGTGCGAGCAGTGGGCCGACGCAGAAGGGACGGGGGGCCCACTTGGGGCGGCCTCTCGGGGCGGCGGGTGGCCCGCTCCAGGGGCGGCGGACCGGCGGGCCGGCGGTATGGGGGAGGGGCGGCCGGCGCGGGGTCCCTGGCCTTTCTCGGCCCTCTCCTGCCCTCCCCGGCCTTCCCTCGCTCTCCCCGACACCCCCCGCAGGTCTCCCCCTCTCTCCCCGACACCCCCCCAAGTCTCCCCCGCTCTTCCCGAACCCCGCCCTTGTTCTCCCCCGCTCTCCCTGACCCCCTCCCGGACTCTCCCTACTTCTCCCAGGCCCTCGCTGACCCTCCCCTGCTCTCCACAACCCCCTCCTCGGCTCTTTCCGACCCTCCCCGCCTTCCTCTGCCCTCCCCCGTCCTCCCCCGCTCCCCTAGGCCGTCTTCTCTCTCCCCGATTCTCCCCCACCCTCCCAGGCCCTCCCCGCTCTCCCCGACCCCTTCCTCGGCCCTCTCCGATCGTCCCAGGCCCTCCTCCACTCTTCCAGATGCTCCTCGGCCCCGGGGTCCTAGTCCCTCCTCGAGTCCCCGCCGCCTGGGAGCTTTGGCGCGGGCGAGGCGACGGGGTGTGTCCTGGGAGAACCTGAATGACCCCTTGCCCACCCCGTGGCAATTACGTGGAGCAGTCTTCAGTAGTGGGTCTGGGGCGCCTGACGTGCAGGAGTGGTCGTGGTCGGGGAGGGAAAGTGCAGGTTGCGGCCTGTCGGGCGCGTTTTCGTGGTGCGGCCCTCGTGTTTTCGCGCTGACATGGGCCATTTCTCCCCGCATGCCCCTGGCAGAGAGTAAGCCTCGGGAAGTCCTGCCGCCTTGTTAACTTCCCAGGCCCTGCCTAGCAGCAGATAAAGCGAGGAGAGGAGGAGGGGGCGGCCCCTGCCCTGTGCAGGGCCAAACTCGGAAGGCTAGAGGTTGAAAGGGCCCACCGCGTTACCGTGAAGGCCAGAGATGAGGAGGCGGACCTGTGGCTACCGGTGCTTTCAGTAAAGCGCCAACTCTCACGCTGCCCACAGGACCCGCAAGAGCTGGACGCCTTTTACCTTTCGCGCTTCTTTTTTTGTCAGTTCCACACCACCTAGGGTGCCCTTCTCATATAGACACATGACCCAGCCACACTGAGCTTGTAGTGCAGACTGCTGTGGTCTTTGCGCCTTTGGCCTTGGCCCTTACCTTTCCTTCTGTCTGAAACGCGGTTACTTCCCTGCTCCTCTGCCTTTTGCTTGCTGGTCCCTGCTGTGTTGTTCAGGTCTCAGCTCCGATTAGGTATCCTCCGGCTAGGTTAGGTGTTGGCCTGATGTCAGCCTTTATCATGCTATCATGTGGTAGTTGTCCACTAGACCCTTAGTCCTGTGGGGGGGGGGGGTGTGTGAATCTCGTCACCCTTACCCATTGCCCAGCACAGTGACCAGAACATACCAGGTTATCAAATATTTCTTGTACAACTCAAATCATTATAATACCTCAAGATAAACTTAAATGTTGCGCAACAGTCGTGCCATCATAAGGAAGGGTAAATAATGGTATGTAAGGGTCATGAAAGCGTTTCCTGGTGTTTGTAATTTGGAGGTCATTGCTTTCGTTTTTGGTAGCTCCCACTCAGGCTTTCTTTGAACCACCCAGCACCCTGACTTGCACTGTGTACTGCTCTATCGAATCTTGGCAGTGATCTCAGCTATAAACCTTATCGTGGAATTTTTTTCCATTTTCTACCTTGACCTCTCACCCAGCACTGCAGCCCGGGATAAAGAACAAGGGCTTCTCAGTCAGATCAGATTTGCATTCTGACTGTTCTTGAACTAGCAGGGTGACCTAGGGAAAAGGGGAGGGGATGGGGGGACCTCCCCTTATCATTATTCATAAATGTATTTCAGGTTCCTTTTATACCCAACTCCGAAGACCAAAACTGCCAAAGAAGGAAAAGATGTTTTTGTTTTTTTCTCAAAGAGAAGGGGACACCAAAACTCATTTGGCAGCAGAATTGGGGTGAAGCCATTTATATATATAGTTTGTAGCTACCCCAGTTTGTGCTGTTGGTCATACGCGTCATTAGAGAAAGCGCATTTGACTGGAGTTCTGCCCCAGATGCCGTTGACGCGTTGTGTGGTGTACTGTACATGTATTTTTCTCAAATGCAAAGAATCTCAATGTCAAAACATACCAAGGGTTCTGGATAAGGGATTATGAACCTCTGACGTCCTACGTTGGAGGGTTATTTTGTGGATTAGGATAATGTATGTAAATACAAGAATAACATGTCAATGATGGTAGTTATGGGTAGTTCACTAACATAAATGCCACTAGCAAAATAAGTTTATATTGCCAAGAATCCAGTTTATCCGTCTCTTCTTCATCTCCTTTTGTTTTGGAAAAAGTTGGTTTCTGCTATGTAAATTGGAATGGGAATATGGTTCTGCAGAAGAAGGAAGCTATGGGTCAAGGAGAAAAAACTTTGAAACAGTTTTTGGCATCTGGAATGAGCACAACCTGAAAGAATAAAGTTTTCATCTGACCGCATTTCTGAGGTTTGGGGGATCCCATGGGTCTGCATCTGAGGTTTAAATTAATCACAGTGCTTGGCATTTTGTGTTGCTGCATCAAGGCTTTCTCACTGAAACCCAGGTGCTTCAGAAGTTCAACATTTCTCTTTGAACTTTCATTTCAGAATACTCAGTTAAAGTGTTAGAAAGTCATAGTGGATCCAGATTATATTTCGGAAAAAAACTGAGCATGAAATAAACAAGATGTGGCAAGAGAAACTTGGTAAAATTAAAGCAAAGTTGAAAGAATTCATAGCCTGGGGCCGGCCTGGTGGCCTGTGGTTAAGTTCCCGCATTCTGCTTTGGCGCCCGGGGTTTACCAGTTGGGATCCTTGTCGCGTACCTACTCACTTCTCATCAAGCCTTGCTGAGGGGGCGTCCCACATAGAAGAACTAGAAGGACCTACAACTAGGGTATACAACTATGTACTGGGGCTTTGGGGAGAAAAAAAAAATTCATAGCCTATTCCGATAATAGTATTACTGCATTTTCCCATATATGTGCGTCAAGATAGGTCTTAAGTGGGAAGAAACTGATAGGAGTGCAAGTCCCCCTTTTCTTCCGTGGAACACCCTCAGTCCTACTGAACAGTGTCAGGGATGAGCACAGGTGGGCTCAAGGTGCGGCACTCTCAGCGTACTCAAGTGAAGTTGGTCCTGATTCAAATGAACGACGAGAGAAAGACAATTAGAGAAATAGGAATTCTGATTGGATATTTCATTATATTAAAGAACTGTTGTTAATTTTCCTTATGATAATGGCTTGTCATTTTTAAGAGTCCTTATCTTTAGAAATGTTACCTAGCATTTATAGTCAGGGACAGGGGCTAAGGGGATATTTGAAACAGTTTTGGCGTTGAGTTGATAATTGCTGAAGCTGGATGATGGGTGGTACATGGGAGTTTTGTTCTGATTTCGTATATGTTCAGAATTTTTCATAAGTGTTTTAAAATAATTATGGCCGTTCGGTAATGGGCATTCCTACCTAATTAGTGATAGTAATTTAAATAGATTTAGCATTCCATTGTTTAGAGAATAACTTTTACCATTGGTTTTTGGAAATACTCTGAATTATATTTAAGCCGTTTCCTTACTTAGTGTTTTTATTAAGAGTTGGTTGCTGAATTTTATGTGGATCCTCAACATGTATTTATATATGGTGGTCTCCTTTAATTTGTTGTAACGAGTTATATTGATAGATGCTTTTCGTACATTACTGGAATCTTAATTGCTAGCAAACATTTCATTGAGAATTTTTGCATTTGTATATTCATGAGTGAGACTGACCTACAGCTAGCTAGCCAGCTTTCTTTCTTTCCTAGGTCTCCATCGGGGTTTGTTATTAAAGTTGTGTTATTTTCGTAAAATAAATGAGTGCTTTCCCTTTCTCTGTAGTGGCTTAAGTGACATTGGCATTACCTGTTCCGGGTTGGATGGAATTCAGCTCTCATTCTGTCCGGTTGTGGTCCCTTTTTGGTTGGTAGATCTTTCTTCAACTGTTCAGTGGTATTTGTTCTAGTCGGGTTTTCCAGTTCTTGGTTCCATTTTGATAATTTACAGTGTTTAAGAAATCATCCATTTCTTTCAGGTTTTCAAATTTGTGGCCATCTTGATACATGTAGTCTCCTGTGTCTGTGATTATACCTTCTTTTCTATATTTGCTCTTTTTTCCTTAATGGGACTTGTGAGGAATTTGTTTCAAAGAACCAGCTTTTGGATTTATTTACCCTTCTATTGAGTTATTTTGTTCATTTCTTAATATTGTGAGAACCAGATTTCTTTCAGTCTTTTTTAATAATGAAAATATGTAAAACCCAAATTGTCATCTGAGTCTATGAAACTTGTACTGTGTCCCATAGATTTTGCTTTTGTCTCTGTTCCATTGCTTTTTAGATAGCTTGTGGTTTTCTTTTGTTACCCTCCTTGATCCAAGGGTTATCCCGGAATTGTTTGTTATCTTTTTTCCCCCTAGTTTTAACATTATGATTCAAGAACATCAACTATAAAAATGTCTTTGAAATTTTGTTTAAATTTTCTTTACAACAGTTACGTGATAATTTTTTAAAATTTACTTGCTTTTCTTTATTGGATTGACTCAAGGTTCTCTATATCTATTAATCCAAATTTATTGGTTGTATTACTCAATCCTTCTCTACTCTTGCTCGTACTATGGTTTACTGAATCTGTCCAATTCTGAGAGAAGCTGTTAAAGTCTCCCACTTGAATTGTATTTTTATCAAGTTCATCTTGTATTTTTGCCAGTCTTTGCTTTATGTATTTATCTGCTGTAATTATTTGTATATGCAGGCTTATGAATGTTATATCTTCTTTATAAATTGTTTCTTTTATACTGATCACACTTTTACCTTAAATCCCACCTTGGCTGATATTAATAATGTCTCTCCTATTCTCTTTGTGTTTGTGCTAGGCTGGTATCTTAGCCTGTACCTTTGATTTCAACATTTCTTTTGTTACTTTGTTTTATTTCTTCCATGTAGCATATGGCTAGTTTTGTGGTGGGTTTTTTCCTCTCCTCTTTTAAGGAGAGAATTTGTTTCACGTTTAGACTGATGGCTGATATTGTTGAATTTTATGCCTTTGGTCTTGCTTTATAATTATTGTTGATTTTATTTTTTTTCTCTTGTTTCTTTTCCATAATTCTGCTGGTTTGAGCAAGTTGCTATTCCAATATTTTTCTCTTAATTTGGAAGTTCCACTATAATTTTTTTCTTTAATAGTTACCTTTCCGGGCCGGCCCCGTGGCTTAGCGGTTAAGTGCGCGCCCTCCGCTGCTGGCGGCCCGGGTTTGGATCCCGGGCGAGCACCGACACACTGCTTCTCCGGCCATGCTGAGGCCGCGTCCCACATACAGCAACTAGAAGGATGTGCAACTATGACATGCAACTATCTACTGGGGCTTTGGGGGAAAAATAAATAAATAAATAAATAAATAAATAAATAAAATCTTAAAAAAAAAAATAGTTACCTTTCCTATTATTTCATAATCAGATGCTTAATCTCTTTATTATTTGAAATCAAGACGTTAGCTCCTTCTTCTGCCAGGACTGTCTATATTCCATCTGACCCCTCACCTCTCCCTCTAGAAGGTTTTACTTCTCTGCTCTCACTCCTGCCCCCAGTTGTTAGGTTTTGCTAAAGTAGTTTAATATTTTTAATTCTAGGCTATGAATAGAATTTTCCTAGGATGTACCTTCTATTCAAGAGATTCTCTCCTGTATTATACAATCTCAGATAGTTGGTTAATGTATAGACTCTGATCTTTATTCTTCTATTATTATTATTTTCTTTCCCTCCATCTCTCCCTTTTCCACTTATGGGAACTCTTATTGTTAATGAGGTGGATTGCCTAGATTTTTCCTCCACAGCTATCTTTTACTCTTGATTTCCTTCTCTGTATTTTTGCCTTGTGCCTTAACATTTCTTATATTTGGTCTTCCAAGTTTCATTACAAGTCTCAACTGTGATGTTTCATTGGAGTCAGCTACCAAAGTTTGAGTTTGAAAATCATGATTTTTAGGTCCAGAACGAGTTTTGTTTGTTTTAAATAGTGTACTTGCATCTTCATCATCGTGATATTATTTTTTTTGGTTCAAATTATTGTCTTCCTCCTCTTGCAGCTTGCCTGTTCAGCTCTGTGTAGGCACGGAAAGGAGGGCACACTCATGTGGGACCCAGGACCTCTGTTCTCTGAGCTCTTCCAGGATCCACGATATTCCTTTCCTTACCAGAGGGTTCTTCAGAATTCATCTCCTTGCCTAGCATTCCACTTTCCTTTAAACTTGCCTTTATTCCACTACCTAGGTGTAAAGCATTTTGGATAATCTAGATCCAGCTTTACTTGCCTCCGTAGTCAGTAGTCCTTACTTTGAGCTCTAGGCTTCACCCAGTACTCCCCCCTTCCCAACGTTAGTAGTGATCTGTCATAGCAAGAAGCAGTTTACAGACTGTGTGTAAGTGTTAGTCTTACAATCCTCTTCTCTCTCTCTCTCATTCCTGCCAGATAGATGACAATAAGGCTTCTAGGGGCCGGCCCGGAGGTGTAGTGGTTAAGTTCGTGCACTCTGCTTCGGCGCCCCAGGATTCACGGGTTCTGATCCCGGGTGCGCGGACCGCCGCACCGCTTATCAAGCCATGCTGTGGCAGCGTCCCATATAAAGTAGAGGAAGATGGGCACGGATGTTAGCCCAGTGCCAGTCTTCCTCAGCAAAAAGAGGAGGATTGGCAACGGATGTTAGCTCAGGGCTAATCTTCCTCACAGAAAAAAAATAAATAAGGCTTCTAGTGGGCCACTAAAAAGGAGAACCAAGACTATAATCCTTATCTTCTATGACATGATACCGTAGAGTTAAAGGCTTACAAATTCTACTGCTATCTTAACCTTGGTTAACCAAGCCATACGTGGGGGTGAGAGGGCCTCATTTCTTCAGGGGTGGTTGGGAACATTTCCGTTCGAAAAGGAAACTTAGAGTGTGCAGTATTCAGGAATGTTAAGATTTGGGGAAAATAGGGAGGCAACAAAGTGAAAGAGGCTTTCTAATAAATTTCTAAGCTCCAGAGGGAGTCAAATTTGACTGCATTCATATCTCTTGACTGTGTTAACAAAGGTTAGCCAACACACTCCATGTTTTCCAAAGTTTCAGGGCTTCTAAAATTTGTATTAAAATTCCAAATATCTCCAATAAAACTATCATCTCAAACACTCAGGTGCCTTCAGTCCTTTTTTACTTTACTTATAAATGTAGTTCATACTTCTCTCTGTGCCCCAGTGTCAAAATCTAGTTCTCAGGAGCTCAAGGAATCTCCAGCAGATGCTTCCTTGTTGAAAGGTTTCAAAGAGACAAAGGAAGTTACGTAATTCCAGAGGTCATGGAAATTTGTCTTGTTCTCCAGTTATGTCCCTAGTGCCTAGCATATAATCAGTACTAAAAAAAGTTTCAATATTGTTGAAAATATGAGCTGTATATATGTATACGTATGTATGTATGGTTGCTTTCATCAACCTAATTCTTTATATCTAATTTATCTTTATGATGAGATGATCATTTCACCGTTTCTGGGGAAGTATTGGATGTAATTAAGAAGCTAAGTGAAACAGAAGCTGTTGATGCCTTCCATGTCAGTCTTCTTACATGTTGACTCATGCTAAATTAAATACCTATGTGTATACATATATGGATATATCTGTATGTATTTTTTTTTTAACAGATTGACGAAACTTCGCTAAAGATGTCTAAGGTAAGAGATTACACACATTTCATCATGTATCTACAGTATGAGGAGAAACTGCTTTATGTTTTCAAACTGTTGATAGTCAAGATTTATATGATTCATTATTTTTAATACAACTATTGTATTTGATTTGTTAATACAGTGTTCTAATTTAATTGTCATCCTAAAAGCTTTGAGCTTTCTTTTTTCAGATTTTCAGTTTCTTGTTTCTAAATACATCAGTAACAACCCATTTAATCTCCTTAGATCATTCCCAGCAGGCCAATCAAATAATAATTTAACGTTCTAATAATGTATCACGATGAGATTGATGGGTCTCTTAGACATGATAAATTGACTTATATCAGCGCTTGCAAATTAGCTCAGAGCCATGAAAGAAATTAGTTCTAAGAGACATGCTGAGAAAGGCAGAATCTGTGGTTACAATTGCAAGATTACTATTTATCTTTGCCTTTTATTTTTGAGTCTTTGGGTGTTCCTTACCATCTGATGCATAATCATCATACTAATTTTTACTTTTTATACGAGTATTAGTGTGACACTGATAAGCAAAAAAGAAAATAAAAATTAGCCATAATTCCATCGCCCAGAAATTTTGTGAATATTTTTTTACACCTGTGCGTGTGTGTGAATACACATTTACAAAATGTAATCCGAAAGGAAATACTATTTTATATCTTGCCTTTTACAATTAATAAGTCAATCGAAGTATCCTTTTTTGATTTCCTCCCATGTTTAGTATGCCACTGCCTAGATTCTACAGTTTTTACTTTTAAAGTTTTACTTTTATTTTGCTTTATCGCATCTCTGTCTGTTACTCCTCATATCTGGTATCCATCTGTCAGGGACTATTGACGCTTCAGCATGGTCAGCTCTGATCTCTTTCTCATTCTCAGGCTTCTCTTTCTTCATCTTTGAAGCTAGGTACTCAACAACCCATCCCTGAGTTGCCTGCCTCCCCCTTGGTGAGGCTCGGTTCCTTAAACCTAGGAATATAACAAGAGACATGACTTTTTCCTGGATACTTTTCACAAATGCATCACATCTGATTCCTGGAAGTATTTACTTTTCAAAGCTATTCTTGAACTAAGTTTGTTGAATGAAACCACTGTGAGTTGTGGCATTACTTTGTAAGTTTGGTTGATTTTCCTGTAACTCTATAGACAGTTTCTCAAGTCAAAGTTTGAAATTGTACTAAGGCAAATTAAGCATGTTCCTTCTTTTATGTATTGCTTAATTGCTTAAGAGAAATGTAATCTTAGGTTAGCATGTTGGCATGGAATAATACTGTATTGGTTTTTCTTCTTTTCAATAAATGTTCTTAAGTGAATACCATCAGTTTTCTGATAGAAGTGACTTTGGAAGTATTGATTTGTGTATATATATTTTTTAATTTGTGAGAACTAATGATACCTATGTTTGTCACAGGTTTGATTATATCTTAAAAGCAACTAATAAGGTGTTTATTTGCTCTTTTTTTGTAAAATCTTGTTTTAGCAACAACCAACTCAGTTTATAAATCCAGAAACTCCTGGCTATGTTGGATTTGCAAATCTTCCCAATCAAGTTCACCGAAAATCAGTGAAAAAAGGTTTTGAGTTCACACTGATGGTGGTTGGTAAGAAATTAACTTATACCCTCAAGCTTATGAGATATGTGAATGTCTCCCCTTCCCATCCTGTGGAGTGTAATAGCATGACCTATAAAGTCAAAGGGAAAATTCCTTTGTTGGCGGAATCAAATAACTTGGGAATTTGAAAAAAATATTTTCAGAAAATTTTGCTAAAGAGTAAAATTAAAATTTTCCTGTCATTTCCTTATTTATGTGTAGTGAAAGTTTTTACTCATTTTGGCAGCCAGCCTCCAAAATGGCCCCCAATGATCCTTGTCTCTTAGTATTCATGATGCTTTCTAGTCCCCTCCCACAATGAGTAGGGCTTTCCTGTGTAGCCAGTAGGAGATTGCAGAAATGAAGGTGTGTGACTTCAAGCCTGGGTCATAAAAGACATAGCGGCTTGTACCTTGCCTTCTCTCGAATCATTCACTCTAGAGGAAGCTAGCCACCTCCATGTTGGGAGGACACTTAAGCAGCCTTATGGAGAAGTCCCATAAGGCAGGGAACTGAGGCCTGCTAGTAGCCATGTAAGTGACCCATCTCAGAAACATCCTTTGGCCCCACTTAAGCCTGTTGGTGACTGCCATCCTGGCTGACAATGACTGTTACTGGGTGAGAGACCCCCAAGCCATAACCACCCACCTTAGACAATCACAAATTCCTCACTCAAAAAATCCATGAGATAATAATAAATTTTCATTGTTGGTTTAGGCCTCTAAGTTTTATAGTAATTTGTTGCACATTAATAGATAACTGATACACTTATATTTAATTAGAAAATTACCTTAGATTTTATTTCATTCTTGATAACTGCAAAATTCTCCAAAAAATGATGAGGAAGCCTAATGGTAGTTATAGATGAGTAGGACAAATGATTGTTTCCCAGGGTAAATAGTTCACAAATCTGAAATGAAAGAAATTGTGGGAACCTTGGTCCAGAAAAGGGAATGGTGACATGTTTTAGGAGCACAATTACATGATAATGATCATGCAAATTCAAGGTCCTGATAGAAAAGAGAAATCCAGTGCAATCTGTCAAACAGTTATTTAATTTTAGAGCATCCAAAACCAGCAGTAACTTCTGGCCATGATAGAATAACTCGGGGTTTGGCAAACTCTTTCTGTAAGAGGCGAGATAGTAAATATATAAAGCTTTGTGAACCATGTAGTTTTTGGTGCAGCTGTTCAACTCTCCTCTTGTAGTAGGAAACAGCTATAGACAGTATGTCAACAGATAGGCATAGCTGTGTTCTAATAAAGCTTTATTTACAAGGTAGTGGGCTAGATTTGACCTGAGGACCATAGTTTGCGGATCCCTGAAATAACTGATACCAGACGAGTCCTCCTGGCATGAATAGCTAGAAGACTGGTCAAAATATATGAAACAGCTCTTTTAAGACATTGGGCAACAGGCAATGCAGGACTTTGATCTCTGAGAGAAGGAAAACAACTTATATGAACTGTAAAGACGTTCCAGCTTTCTGCCATTTACCTGCCCGTGCCCCGGGGGGCGGTGAATCAGTCAGAGCACAGCAGTCTCAGATTTGAAGGAGGAGATCACAGTTCAGGGAAGCTGAGGCAGCTGGAACCTCAGGTGGTAAGGCAGAGTTCCAAAAAAGAGAAAGGCCTTCAAAAATCTGCATTAGGGTTCAGTTTGACACTGAGGCTGAACACTGAACTGCATATGGGCAGGGTGTGATTTCCACATGTGACCACCAGGAGATTGAGCGGGACTGGAGCCTGCACAGAGTTGGACAGCCAGAATGGGGTTGGAGATGTTAGAATCCAGCCCCCAGAGAAGGGGTCTTCTTGAGCACCCAAGACATTCATTCACTTCAAACTCCAGAAAGTCCTTACTTAGGAGTAGGGCTAAACTAGACATAATGGCTGTTCTAAACCCTCCCTAACAAAGCTTGTAGACAAGCCTTGAAAGGATCAAGCTGATTTACAAATAAAGGAACTACTTGCCAGGACAAAACCCATCACTCATTAAAGAAAAACATCAAAACCCACGCTTTTACAGTGTAACATTCAAAATATCTAGCATCCAATAAAAAGTTATTGGGTAGGCAAAGAAGCAAAAAAAAAAACAAATGGCACATAACCAGTAGAGAAATCAGGCAATAGAAACAGATTCAGAAGTTACGGAGATTATAGAATTGGCAAACAAGCACTTTTAACTATTTCAAATATGCTCCTGTACTTAAAGGAAGATATGAATATAATGAAGTAAGTAGAAGATAACAAAAAAGAACCAAATGGAACTTCTAGAGATTAAAAAAATACACCGAGATGAAAATTTTTCTGATGGGCCTAACAGCAAATCACACACTGCAGAAGAAGAAGGGCAATAGAAAGCTTCCAAACTAAAACACCAAGCAGAATACAAACAGAAAAGCACGCCAGCGTACATAATAAGCAGATATGGGAAAAGCATTGATAAGCAGGAATATCTTTAAAGTAGCCAGAAAAAAAAATAAGAAAAATACAATACAGAGGATCAAAGATGAGAAAGCCACTGACTTCTCATCGAGAATAGTGTAAGCCATGTGGAATGACAGTACTGAAAGAATAAAACCATCAGCCTAGAATTCTGTGTTGGTCAAAAATAACCTTTAAAAATGAAAATTTTAAAAAAGTTGAAATAAAGACATTTTCAGGTAAATAAGCTGAGATAATTTATCACTATCCCTGCACCATAAGAAAGATTAAATGAAGTTTGCCAGGTTGACAGAAGGGAGAGCGCTGAAAAGAGCAAGTGTGTTGGTAAATATAAGAGACTTTTCTTGCCGTTTAAGTTTTTTCAAAGATAATTGACTTTAAAACAAAACAGCGTATAACATGTAGGAATAAAATGAACACACAAGAATAGCACAAAGCACAGGAGGTAACTAAAAGCATGCTTTTGAGACTTCTGGTGTTCTGTGTGAAGTGGTAGAATGTTATTGAAAGAAAGACTGCAGTTAACGCTGTATGTGGTAAACTCCACTCACTAGGAAAATAAAACAGATTTGGCTAAAAGCCAATAGCTTCAATAAATTAGAATATAAAAAGTATTCAATCCAAAGGAAAGCAGGAAAAGGAAAAAGAATAGATGAGACAAATAGAAAAAGTGTAGCAGAATGGCAGACTTGACCTCAGCCATCTCAGTAATTATATTGCATGTACATGTACAAGGCAACTTGGTAAAAGCAAAAGGCAGAGATGATCAGACTGAATGACCTCCTGTTGTGTACAAGAAAAACATTAACAGTGTAGACACACATATAGGTTAAAAATAAAAGAAGGGAAAATTATCATGCAAACCTGAGTCATAAGAAAGCTGAAGTGGCTGTATTAAATCAGACAAAGTAGACTTTAGGTCTACTACCCACACATTCCAGAGATAAGGAAGTATATATCGTGGTGATAAAGGGATCTGTTCAAAACATCATCATCTCAAATGTACACACCTAATAACAGAGCTCCATGATACACGAGGCAGAATCTAATAGGAGAAAGATAAGTCTGTAAGGACAGGAGTTTTTAAACACTCCTCACTGTAATTTATGAAACAAATAGAGAATCCGTAATTTATAGAATATTTAAGTAATGCTGTCCAACAAGGTGACCCAGTTGACATTCAGAGCACTATGCTGAACAACTGCAGAATCTACGTTCTTTTCAAGTGCACGTGGAACATTCACCCAAGATACTCTGCATAATGAAAGTGTTTTATTAGGTCAGCATTACCCTATTACATATAACAAAAGTACAGACTAATTCCTCATGAGCATAGACACAGACAACTTAATAAAATTTTAGCAAGTCCAACAATGTATAAAAATGTTTATTACAGTTGGTTCTGTTATAATGCAATATATGTGTGTTCCTAAAAAATCACCGTGCTATGCAAAATCATGAAGTTAAAAATCACAGGCCTGGGGCCGACCCAAGCGGTTAGGTGCGCGCCCTCCACTGCGGCGGCCCGGATTCACTGGTTTGGATCCCAGGCATGCACTGATGCACTGCTTGTCGAGCCATGCTGTCGCGGCATCCCATATAAAGTAGAGGAAGGTGGGCACGGATGTTAGCTCAGGGCAGATCTTCCTCATAAAAAAAAAAAATCACCGGCTTGTGGAGAGTAGGGGCACAACACTCAGCCTTCTTCAGTGACACATTAGGAAGAAAGTGAGGAACATGATAAAAATGGTCTCGGTTTTAGACATGTTAAAAGGTTAAGAAATCATAATTACTACACCAAATAAGTCACTATACCTTGAACAATCTCTGAAGTTTGTGCAAGTGGGCTTCAGGACGGTTGCAGCTTGTGCATTATCATGAAGTTGTGGAAGGAGGGTTGTCTGAAGATGGATGGAAAGTTTGATACTAGAAGTGAGTGGTTGTGGCTTATACCCATTGAGCTGAGATAGCTGGTAGCTGAGGTGTGTGCATTGGGAATATTCTTTTGTAGCTGGATTCTGCTGGGTAGTTTTCTGTGTTTAGATAGTTTCTCACCAGTGAAATCATGTGTAAGCAAATTCGAAATGTGTGTTATGCTGAAATTATTCCCTAATATATCAGTTGTGTTGGAACATATTCTCACTTTCAAAGCAGGTGTTAACAGCAGAACTGACTACACATCCTAAATGAATGGAGTTTATCGCAAGAATGCATGGTTGAACGTTAGAACATCAATCAGTGTGGTTTTAAAGGGGAAATTCATGCTGTCATCTAAAAAATGCATTTGTAAAATTTCAAAACCCATTAAACCCATTAAAGATTAAGATTGTTGACCTAACTGTAAACCTATAAAAAGTCTAGAAGAAAATGGGCAAGAAAGAGAAATTAAGAAAACAATCCCATTTACAACTGTGTCAAAAAGAATAAAATACCTAGGAATATATTTAACCAAGTAGGTGAAAGACATGTAATCTGAAACCCATGACATTGATAAAAGAAATTGAAGGCAACACAAATAAATGGGAAGATATACCCTGCTCATGGATTGGAAGAATTAATATTGTTAAAATATCCTTACCACCCAAAGCAATCTACAGATTCAGTGCAATCCCTATGAAAATACCAATGACATTTTTCGCATAACTAGAACAAATAATCCTAAAATTTGTATGGAAACACAAAAGACCCCCCCCATACAACCATTCTGTTTCTTACTTTCAGTACAGTATTCAATAAATTACATGAGATATTCAACACGTTATGATAAAACAGGCTTTATGTTAGATGATTTTGCCCAAGTGTAGGCTAATGTAAGTGTTCTGAGCACGTGTAAAGTAGGCTGGGCTAAGCTAGGATGTTTGGTAGGTTAGGTGTATTAAGTGCATTTTCAACTTATACTGTTTTCCTTTTACGATGTGTTTATCGGGATATAACCCCATCATAAGTCGAGGAAGATCTGTATGCTGAGCAAAAGCAGCGAGACACAAAAGGGCATGCTGTATGAGCCCATGCATGTGAATTTCTAGAATAATCCAAACCAATCCAGTGACAGCAAATTGATGTGTTCATGCACTGGGGGCTGGAGAGGGTAGAGGTGACTGTAAGGTATGTAGAGGACATCTGTGGTGGTAGGGAGGTGCTCTTGTTCTTGAATGGAGTTTTATCTGAGCATATGCTTTTGTCAAAACTAAAGTGACTGTACAGTTTAAATGAGTGCACTTAACTGTATTTTTAACTGGGCTATATGTAAATTAAGTTGATTCAAAAGAAAAGTAGTTAGGGGATTAAGGGTGAGACGGGTAGTGAAAAGCAGAGGGAGAAAGTTAACCACAAGAACCCTCAACTTTTAAATTAAGTATTAGCAGCTCAGGAAAAATGGTGTATTAGGAAACCCCAACACGCTAACTTGTAAGTAAAGAGGAAAGGTGTAGTTTTTTAAGCTGTGGCAGACTTCTGAAGAAACAAGAAATTTCACAAAGTGATACATCATATGCAAATGAAAGACTACAAATATTTGGGTAGCAGTCTGCAAGGAATTTTAAAATCACAGGTGAGTTGTTTAAAGACATCAAGAAAGGAAGCCAGGTGGCACGTCATCAGTGAGAGAGCCTGATGACCATGCTGCTGAAGAACCTAATTTATGGTGATAGTTGATGATAGCCTCTGTCAAGTTAGTAGCCTCCCACAATTATGTGGGATGGTGGATCAATTCATAAGAAAAGCAAGATAAAAAATATAAAGCTTATTGCCAAATATATTACCTGGTAGAAAGTAGGGTGGTTAGCGTGACCAAATTCACAAGGTTACAGAGTGAATGCTCTGAGAACTTCAGAACTAAGCTAAGAAAATGAAACCTGGCCTTAAAGCAAAAATATGCCAGTGTAGTTGTAAGTTAATGAGTTGTGAGAATGCACACGCATGTTAATGGGTATTCCTTCCTAAGAGCATGTGAGCCTGGGATGGTGGCAGCTCTGAACTACATGCAGCCTGCATGAGCATCCTCCTGTGAAAGCACACCTCCTCACATGGTGCTCCGCTCTATCCTGCCATCGCACAGGACGGGAGTTTGAATGGACAAAAAAGCTGACAACTTAGAATATTGCTCTTTAGGGCATTCCACAAGGGCCTTCGTTTCACATTGTTTGAGAAAGCAGTTTCTGTCTTAAATGTTGGTTAAAATTGAAAAGTAAATGAGAAGAGAAGCTCCCCAAGGTGGGAAAGCGCTTTATTTCCTAGCATTCCTGGCTTGGCGTAAGTTGTGTTGTTTAATTTTTTGAGCCTAGGTTTTAAAAAATAAAACTTCAGTTAGATTAAAATCTAAAGCTCTGTGACAGTTTGCCTGATGGGATTTCAGAATGGTATTGTAAAACGAAGCTCCACTTTTTCTTACCTTACCTGTATTTTTCATATCATGGCGCCACCTTGTGTCTGATAGTGTGTATTTCTTTGTGATTGGTGAAAACGTGAGCCATTTTGTAGACTCTGAGCACACCTCTCATCTGAGTCAGTCTTTGCTATTACTACATTTAAAGGATAACTAAATTAATTAAGATTGCTGACCCCGGTATCTTTTGTGTTGAATTTTTTCAATGGTGATGGATTTACACTGGTCCAAATCTCTTCTTGCTTATCTTGTTTCCCCCATTTGAAGGCACCTATTTGAGAAACTCCTCGCCAGGATAGGGAGATTAGTGAGAGTGGAACACAGCAAAGCTAGGTACTCTCCAAGATTCAGCCCAAGAGTAGCATCACGTTCTGACTTAATGAGCGTATTATTTGTAGATGTTACCCGAAAGCTATTCCAAGTGAAATAATCACTTACACCCTTAAAATTAAGATTTATAATTTAGAATCAGCCACCGGGATATTAACTACTTTTTTAAAAGAAGTGGTCTCTACTCAGCTTTGCTCAGATGTCTTCTGCGCCCCAGTCCCTTTTCATTCAGCGTTATCATCCACAGCTGTCACCACTCAGTCAGTGATAAGAGTGACTTTGTTTGTTTGTCATCTCCCCCACTGGACTGCAAAGCTCCAGAGGAGCAGGGACTTGTCCGTCCTGTTATCCATCATGTCCCAGCACCTGGGCCTCTGCCAGGCACACGGAGCAGACTTAGCACATATTAGTAAGATCCCCTTCAAGTGTATAAAAATGTGTAAAGGGGCGTTGCCAGACAATTTATTAACAGGATAACTTGATGAGATAGTATGTGTTTAGTCACATTTTTATGCTCATATTTGGACATATTCAACACATAATTCTAGTTTTGTCCTTTCAGTGTTCCTTTTTTATCTATGAAAATTGCAATCTAAAGTGCAGTCCTGATTTTCTGTGTCTACACATTTCACAGTCACTCTTTCATTCTTGATTTTTCCAGAAATAATGATTTTAAAACAGATGTGCACTCCTTCCACGTGCTATGCAGGACTTAGCAGAGGGAAGTTCAAACCGAAATGTCCAGGGGACAATTGGGCGCCAAAGTTCAGAGGCACTTTTCCATGCATAATCAAGCCTTAGATGATAACCTACAATGAAGAAGTAATGGAATCTGTTCATACTTCCTTCGAATATACAATTTAATTTTTGGTATTTTGCATCTTCTTTGAAATTAAGTTTTAGATAGTCAGAACACATCATTATAGTAGTTGAAGAAAGATTGTCAACTCATTAAATGCTTGAATGAATACGTGTTGCCCGAATTGGTCACGTCACACTCAACAAAATAAGTAGAGAAGTTCCCTGATGTAAGGCAGTTGCCAATATTGGGACATAAGGGTGTTTATAAAATAGGAGAAGGGAAGGGGTGGCCCGCTCCTGCCTTGTTGACAGAAGGGAGAGATTGCAGAGTGGTTATGTACGAGGGAGTCTTGGGTGTCTGCCCGGTTTCCCGTTCCCACAGCTTGGAAAGCCAGAGTGCTGCTGACATTGTTGGATAGATGTATTCAGTTTTCTGAAAATGTGGTGTTTAACAATTAGCAAAACTCAAAACTGAAAACCTACTTTGCATTCTATTTATCAAAAAGTAAAGACCCACCTGTAAAGTCCATTCCACACATTTGTGAAGGGGTAATATCGTGGTTCTGATCTTACAACATACGAGTTCTGGAGTCCCACAGACCTGGATTCAGATGGAAGTCCTGCTCTGGATAACTCTCTGACCAGGGACAAGATACTGACCTTGGAGCACCCATTTCCCCATCAGTGAAATGGGGAGTTCTACCAACTTCCTACTCTTGTGGAGGACAGAGAATGATGTTTGCGAGGTACTTAGCCCAGTGCCAGGCCTCACATAAACACTAATAGACTAGACTAACCATGTCATTCAGATAACATCACAATGTTTTCATTTTCGTTTAAAGGTGAATCGGGTCTAGGAAAATCGACTCTCATAAACAGCCTATTCCTGACTGATCTCTACCCAGAAAGGATCATCCCTGGAGCTGCAGGTAGAAAAGTTCCTATGCTGTTATAAGTGTAGTTCTACATGAAAGTTGCTAAAGAGTGCATAATCAGTATTTTGTGCCTTAGCCCTGTGCTTGCTTGCTTTTTGTTCAGCTTTACACACAAGGAAAACATTTAGGTAGGGAAAGGTGTGCTGCACCTGAAGTCCTTAGATTTTGGTTGTAAACTCTCATTGACCACATATCCATGGATCCATCCTCTGCGAGTTTTTCTTTGTAAAGTGTAATAAATAGTTTTTGCCTGTATTGTACGTTTAATGGGAGGATCAAGTAAAATGCTGTCTCTCATGGAAAAAGCTATGAAAGTAGATGACTGTGAGACTACACGTTGTCTGGCTTCACTGCTGTCTGAGCAGTCTAGTGTAGGACACCAGCATTCAAGAGTGCTTGTTAAATGAATGGATTAAGCATACAAAGTCAGAGCCTAGGGCTTGGGCCACCACACCAGGGACATACAGCCCTTTCACAAATACCTTTAATTCAATTTTTAAGTGAATTCATGAATTGTTTTCTTTGTCCCAGGAACAAAAATTGTAATTTTCTTTTTTTTTTTTTTAATTTTTTTTTTTAATTTTATTTATTTATTTTTCCCCCAAAGCCCCAGTAGACAGTTGTATGTCATAGCTGCACATTCTTCTAGTTGCTGTATGTGGGACGGGGCCTCAGCATGGCCGGAGAAGCAGTGCGTCAGTGCGCGCCCGGGATCTGAACCCCGGGCCGCCAGCATCGGAGCGCACGCACACAACTGCTAAGCCACAGGGCCGGCCCAAAATTGTAATTTTCAATACTTGCATTTTTAACTTTACTAAGGAGCCCTTTAATCTTAGCTTTGATGTTTTCCTTACTCGGGGATCGTTTTTACACAATCCTCATGTTACCTTCTGAGAATCTTCCTCAAAGAGAGGTAGTGAACTTCCAATTCATTTGTTTAATAATAGGAAAGTGACTAACAAGTGATTTCTCCTCTTTGCAAACTGGCTCAATTTTAAGGTACATTCTGTTATTAAGTTTGATTCTTTTCTAGAGAAAATTGAAAGAACTGTCCAAATTGAGGCTTCGACTGTTGAGATTGAAGAGCGAGGGGTCAAGCTGCGCCTGACAGTGGTGGACACGCCCGGCTACGGTGACGCCATTAACTGCAGGGATTGGTATGCACCCCAGAGGGAGGGACACAGAGCCCCAAAGTGCTGAGAGCTGTGCGCTTGGTTATGTTTGTTCTAATGCATTTAAATTTGTAGTGTTGATGATTATTGAGTTTGGGGTAGTTGTATATAAGAAAACAATGAGACCATTTGAAGCACAATAATTACATTTTAAAGGAGGAATTTCACAGAGAATGAGTATTTTTTCTCTAAGAGCATTCTAGTGAGATCCAAGATTGCAAAGCCAACCATCCATCAAATGCTGGTATAAATGAAGCATCTTGAGGGGCCATCCCCGTGGCATAGTGGTTAAGTGCGCACGCTCCGCTGCTGGCAGCCCGGGTTTGGATCCTGGGCGCGCGCCGACGCACTGCTTGTCGGGCCATGCTGTGGCATCGTCCCATATACAGTGGAGGAAGATAGGCACAGATGTTAGCCCAGGGCCAGTCTTCCTCAGCAAAAAGAGGAGGATTGGCATGGATGTTAGCTCAGGGCTGATCTTCCTCGCCGCCGCCCCCCCCCCCCAAAAAAAATGAAGGATCTTGATTTTGAGCCATGGCCAGTGGACAAGATATTGTAGCATAGTCTTCCTCCTTTCCACATGCGTGGAAATGCAGTCTCTTAGAGAGTCGCTCAAGACTTAGTGCCTGTAAATGACTACTCATTGGCCTCGTTTGCACTGGTAAGGAAATCAAGAAGTAGAAGATAAGAGCAGTCCGTCCCCTGTACTGTGCAGAGAGTACTGCTTTCACTGTGCCAGCTCTCCTGGTGCTAATCCCTGTAAGCATAAAGCATCACCTTTCCAGGACGAGATGAGAAAGGGGAAGGGAGGGGGAAAGGTCTTTCCTTCGTCTTTCTTCTTTCTCAGGAATGTCTTCCTTCTGCAAGTCATTCTTAGCATCATACATATGTGCTGTATTATTTCACATCTTAATATACCTGTTCTTCTGCCAGCCCTCCACTCCTCTGCCCCTCTTCACAACCACACTCCTGGAAAAAATTGGCAGCTCTCTGTCTTCACTCAGTCGTCTCAAGCTGTTTGTATCCTATTCCATTCAGGCTTTTGACCCCAGTGCTTAGGGGGAATTAAGCTTGGCACAGTTGGCAGACACCTCCATCTTGCCAAGTCTAGGAGTCAGTTTTCCGGTCCCATCTTCCACGTGAATTATCAGATTATATTTGGTGTGGGGGAAGGGGCAGAAAAACTTGTTTTGTCTTTGAAGTTAGGGACTGCCAGCCTTTTGTGTCCCATAATTATTAGTTAATATTTGTTTTTCTCTCAGTTTTAAGACAATCATCTCCTACATTGATGAACAATTTGAACGGTACCTACATGACGAGAGTGGTTTGAACCGACGACACATCATTGACAACAGGGTGCACTGTTGCTTCTACTTCATTTCACCCTTTGGACATGGGTAAGGACTGACTCACGAGGACATCTGATGCATTGATCAGAATTTCGTCTTTACTGTATGGCTTTACAGCTTACCTCCAAACTGCGTATTTTCGTATAAGAATTGAGATAATGTTAAGAGAAAAAAATTTCATGTGATTTCCCTATTCTGTCCCTAAATATGTGACACTTCTCAAATTATTTTTAGACTTAAGCCCTTAGATGTGGCGTTTATGAAGGCGATACACAATAAGGTGAATATTGTGCCTGTCATCGCAAAAGCAGACACCCTCACTCTGAAGGAACGGGAGCGCTTGAAGAAAAGAGTGAGTGTGGGGTTCGCCGGCTGTTTTTTGCTCAGGGTGGCTGAGAGCCAGGTACCTGGGGAAGGGAACAGACGGAAGGAAGAGAGTCTAAGATGTGGAGGGGCAGTGCGAGGAGATTGGTGATAGTTTTTAAGGAACACCTAATACTTGTAATTTTTTTTAGTATTTTGACTTCACGAAGATATCAAATTATTACTTTTCTTTATAATTCACCTTAGATGGAAATACCCTCAATGAGTAGAAGGTGGCTAAATGCAAAGAGACTCCATGGTGTGTTAGGTAAATGATGTGAACATGGAAGTGTGATCATCTCTGGAACTTCAGTTCTGTTATTTTCTTTAAACATTTTACTTCAAACAATCCATTTAGGAATGTACTCTAATTACAGCAGTCTGGTATCGTAACTGTTTTAAGGGCCTACGTTCTGACCATTAAGAGGTTGCATTGCGGTTGTCCCTCAGACTGCTGGTGTGCCTCTCACCTCCCAGTAGCTCCTACGCTGGTGTCCTCTTCTCTGTTATCCTATGAAGCTTCTTTGTTGACTCTCTGCTATATATATTTTTTAATTATTTACCTATTTCTATTTGTATCCTCATTAAAAAATTCCAAACTCATACGTTAAATTCTACAAATAAGAATTCCTTTAATTATCCACAAAAACAACCACTGTTAATAGTTAGGTATCTATTCTTTCAGAACATAGTCTATTTATGTTTTTGTTTTTACAAAGTGGGATCACGTGTACAGATTATTTTGCCATTTGACTTTCTGAGACTTGCCAGTGCACAAAGAAAGCACTCCCCCAGGCCCTTCCTCAGTCAGAGCACCCTCCCCCCGGTCAGAGCACGCCCAGCGCGCACAAAGTATTTCTTCAGTGTGTTTCTTGGTCTTCCCACCCCTGCCCCTAGGTCCCTGACATCAGGGACCTTTGCTTTGCTCACTTGTATTTCCAAGAGTTTAGAATAGTAGCTGGCACATAGTGGGCACTCAGTAATGTTTGTGTAATGGGCATGGTACACACCTGTCTTCTTCAGTTGCATGTCAGACAAATTCTTAGAAAAGAAATTAATGCTCACTTAAACTTTTGAAAGGTGACTAAATTTCCCTGAAAACAAATTTGTAACAATTTACGTTCCTAAAGCAGCATGTGAGCATGCTCTTCCCTCCACCCCCTGGAGCAGTCCTGGGTGTATTACCAGTTTTGGTAAAGTGTTCCCATCTGAGAATTGGGAAAGGGTGTCTCTCTTCAAGTTGCGTGTCCCGGTTGCTGGTGCGCGTGTCTGTCCTGGTATTTGATGCCCCTTGGCGTGTCTGAGGTTTTAGAGCCTCGCCTCTCCTTTCATTGCTTTTTTATTGACTTATAGATACTCTTTATATTTTTAGACATTGACTGCCATGTTGCAGATGATTTCACCTAGTTTGACTTTCATGTTTTCACTTTTTTCTTGATGTCTTCTGTCATAGTGGAGATTTAAAATTGTATGCACTCATATTTGTCAGCCTTGTAATTTATTGTCTCAAGTGCCTGCCAGTTTTGGGGACATGCTCAGGCCCTTGGAAGAACCCCTGAAAGCTTAGGCGTTTTTATGCTTGACAGTAAATATTTTAGCAATTCCTGCGTAAGGGAACTTGACCTTTTTATAAGATGTTACATTAAATTTCAGAGGGGGGGGGGTCAGGGTTAGAATGCTTTATACCTGTCTCTAATCCTGAATCCAAAACTCTTAGGGCTTGTTTTCAAAGTCTGAAATGAATTGAAATACTTTTATACTCATCTCTTTTATCCTGGGCCTTTTTAAAGACTTTATTTATTTATTTATTTCCCCCCAAAGCCCCGGTAGATAGTTGTATTTCATAGATGCACGTCCTTCTAGTTGCTGTACGTGGGACGTGGCCTCAGCATGGCCAGAGAAGCGGTGCGTCGGTGCGCGCCCGGGATCCGAACCCGGGCCGCCAGCAGCGGAGCGCACGCACCCAACCGCTAAGCCACGGGGCCGGCCCAAATCCTGGGCCTTTTTAATCTCTTATCTTTATCTGGTTTCTTCCCTCTGCCTACCAGTGCCCTCCTCCTCCCTTATCTAAAAGAACCTCTTGCAGACCTTTTGAAGCCTCTCCGTGGTTAGTCGCACACTTCCTGGTGGTGTGATCTGCCCTCTCCCCCGTCTGTCTCACTCTTCACAGTGTCCAGCTGCAGCTTGGGCTTGGCCAGCGGTTCAGTCATCAGTCGTGGGCCTCACCAGCAAGGTTTGCTCTGCTCTCCTAACACTTGTCTTTCTGCCTGTTTTACCACCTTCTTGTCTTTTGATCCCTGAGTCAGCATTGGTTAGTATTATTTTGATCATATTGTTTCCCGTGGCTTCTGCTTTTCTCTTCTAAGAATCTTATGTCTTTTTCCTGTGAACTACATATATAAACAGGAGTCCTCTTTACCCTACTAGTGAGCTCTTCTCTTAACTTCCCTGTCTCTGTAAATGGTCCCACAGTTGTTGTAGTCACTCACATTGAGAAATGTGTAATTATTTTTAATCTGTCATTTTCTTACTCTCTCTTCCAATTCTAAATAACCTACTTATTAAATATTTCTCAAATCTCTTCTTGTCTCCAGTGTAAGCCCTGTCGTTATGAGGCCAGCATAGGAAAAGAGATGGGGTCAGCACACTGCTGGCCACTTAATGCCTGTTGAATAAAATCCAGATCCCCAGCTTGGCATTCAGGGAGCTCTCCACTTGGTAACCTCTGTTGTTGTTTTGTCTTATCCTCTAGATGTCCTATTCCAGCCATCCTGGATTTCTTGTTATCCCCAAAACACACCCTCTCTGTCCTCCCCTCCACGCCTTTAACAAGATTTTCCCTGCCCCAGGTGCCTCTTTTCTACTTGTAAGACTCCTGCCTGTTCTCTAGGGACTCCTCGGGCAACAGTCATGGCTCTTGTGCCTGCAGCATCTGGCTGTACCTCCTGTGGCACTTGTCCTTCTTGAAGCTGGTTGTGGGTGATTTCCTTTTAGCTACTGTGCTGGGGTTATCATTAGTCTGCTGCTTTGTACATTGAAGGTAGTGATGCATTATTGTTATTACTCCAGACAGAGGATCCCTCAAAATGCAAGCATAAATACCTTTTTAGCAGTTTACGAATCATTTGAAATAATTGTAGCAATCAATTTCATTCTTTATTGACATTTGAGTAATTCTGGGATATTTCTAATATGAGTTAGACTTGACTAAAATATGCAGTTTGCTAAAATTACTCCTGGTTTTGTCATTCTTCCAGATTCTGGATGAAATCGAAGAACATAACATCAAAATCTATCACTTACCTGATGCAGAATCAGATGAAGATGAAGATTTTAAAGAGCAGACTAGACTTCTCAAGGTAAGTCTTTCTTCAAGTGCACAATGTAAGTGTAAGTAACTCCTGTTTCCTGTTGTCAGTGCATTTAAAATGGAAAGGGTTGGCAAAGAGCCCAATCTTGGAAGGCTTGACCTCTGAGAGATTGTCAGTAGACTCAGTTACAGTAGTATTTTTGCTTTAAATATATTTTGACATAGCTGTTACTTGAGGCTTAGAAATCTTATTGTGGGTTTAATATATTTTCATCCAGTTTGTCCCATGTGGAAAGTATCTGCCACTTCCAAGTGTGAAACACGGTAAAGGAAACCTCATTTAAAATGCGGTCAGGAGGCCAGCAGGCAGAGCCCTCACGCAGTACCACTCTGCCTCATTACAGACCCCAACAGGAAGGATCCTCAGTCACCACCCCAGCAGAAGGAAGAAAGATTTCCTCCTTGCCCAGTGACTCACCCAATGAGAAACCATCACCACCCTGAATTCGCACTTTCCACCAATGGATTTTTGTTCAAAACAACCCCTTCCAACGTCCTCCTTTTTCCCTGTAAAGTAACATTCATCTTTGCTTGCTGGGCTTACCTATGGCTTTGGCTATAGCTTGCGTCTCCCAAATTGCTGTTCCTGAATAAACCCATTTTGCTGGTGAAATAACTGGCTGTTTGGTTTGTTTAGGTCAACACAAGTAAAATGTTGTATACCATTAGCTTTCCAAGTAGACCTTGTAGTAAGCAGTCACGTGCTCAATCCATGCTGATGTTCCTACATTCCAAGTTAAAGTTGGGGTTCCCGCTATGCAGCCTGTGTACCCTGTTATCTCTTTCTAGGCCAGTATCCCATTCTCTGTGGTTGGATCCAATCAGTTGATTGAAGCCAAGGGCAAGAAGGTCAGAGGCCGCCTCTATCCGTGGGGTGTCGTGGAGGTGGAGAACCCAGAGCACAATGACTTTCTGAAGCTGAGGACGATGCTCATGTAAGACGCTCGTGCATTCCCATTGGCAGTACCTAACATGGAAAGCAGCGCTTCCGAATGTGGGGTTGTACATGTGGCCCCAGAGACAGCTGCCGGCTCTGTTGTGCTTCTGCACTGGGGCCGCCACAGCTTGGTGCAGCAGGCCCTCACTTGGGAGCCCTCTGTGACTGCACTGGACTCGCTCTTCCACCTACGGCCCAGAGCTTAATGCGCTCTCCTGCTTAAGAGCTCTGCTGATGCTAAAAGGAGACTGGACCCACACTGTAGTGTGGCCTCACCAAGCATGGGACACCTCCTGCTCTGAAGAGCAGATAGTCAGGTTCGCTGCAGGGGCAGTGAGCAGCTTCTCCAGTCCCAGCTGAAATGCGTTACCACTGCTCGTCAGCCTCAGGCTCTCACACGAGATGGCCCCTGTTAGCCCTGAGATTCTTCAGTTGATTCTGAGCAACTAGAACAGGCCTGACTACAAAAACAGACACTTTTCCTCTAAAAATAAATTTCACGTTTAGTAACACGCATGCATTGCTGTTGCTCTTGAATAAAGAGGCTAACAGAAAGAGTATTGCTAAAATCTAGTAACTCTTTAATCAGAAGAGTTCAAAGAATGGCTGATCTAAATAAGTTTTGAATAACTGAAAATTGCTCTATATGCCTCATGTCTCACTTGGTTTAGCAATTTTTAGTGAATTAAAATCAATAAAAATACCATTAAAATGACCATTCAAGCTATATCAGATATAATTCAGTCACCTTGTAAGATATTAAAGTGCACCCCAGCCATCCAGGGATGGGTCTTTGGCTGTCGTGGTCCTGTTGCAGAGGTGAGGGGTGTGGAGGCTGAAGACGGGGAGCATTGGTGTCAAGGTGTGTTTCTCAGCATGAAGGAGAACAAGCCATCCCTTTGCCATCACTCAGTCCGTTTCCCTGATCCTGAGTAAACTCATTCTTGAGTGCTTAAGGATTTGAAAAACCTGGGCCAAAAGAAACATGAATGTGTTATAAGATGATTAGAAAATTCAAAGTGCTGTTTCTGTTTTATCTAGAATATTAAATATTTTATTTTATGGTCTTCTCCATAGTTCAAGCTGATCAGCTTAAGAAATCATGGATATTTGAATTGCCTGTTTTCCATATCTTTTGGAAAAGTGTATTCTGTTTCAGACATTGTTTACCAAATATATCTCCTAAAATCTCTTTTTGCATCTCCCTCTCTTCAATGGTGATGGTCTCGTGCAGAGCCTATGGCAGAGGCCCGGTGGAAGAGACTCTTAACCTGGCCCTTTTGAGTGCATTTGTGCATTGTTTATTGTGGCAGCAAGGAGAGATATACCTCTGTAGACGTTTCCACGGCCTCAGTCCCTTATCCTGAAATTCCAGCAGCTTTGTGTATAATTTACCAAGTAATAAGAGGGGTTTTAGTTACTGGTGTTCCTTCCACATCCTTGATTGGTCGGTTTTTCCCATGCAGATAGCACATGCATGTAGCCCAGCTTTGGTGCGTTCTTTTCTCTTTCAGCACTCATATGCAGGATCTCCAGGAGGTGACCCAGGACCTTCACTATGAAAACTTCCGCTCCGAGAGGCTCAAAAGAGGCGGCAGGTCATTGCCCCAAGTCACACTGTCCCCTTCTGTCCATACTGTGTCACCCCGAGTCACGCTGTCCCCCCTCCTCTGTGTGTCTAGCTCAGCCTTCTTGACCTCTAAGCAACATGATGTAGTTTCCTACTCAGAAGCTACTACCAGATACTTGTTGCTAATTTAATCGAACCATGCTTTTTTTAGCCTGTTAAAGGTGGCTTTCATCATCTACACATAAAGAACAGTATTAGATGGAGAGGCTGAGACTTGTGTTGGTAACTTTCTCAAAAGCATCACTGTCTGTAAATGAGGCCAGACTTATCTGCCATAAGAAACCGCAGCACTCCAGTTAGGGTTGAGCAGCACCTCCACTCAGCCATGCATGTAGCCACCCGCAGCCTTTTTTTTTTTTTCTTTTACCATCCTAATAGGTTTTTATTTGAGATCTGTATTTTGTGACCTGATTTGTGTCTGATAAAACCCCATCTCTACTTAGAGTTTAATTAACAAATAAGTTATATACATCATTTATAAAAAGAATTTTCTGTATTGTAGTTCATTAAAATATTCACTTTTTTTTTTAATATGATAGATCTGTGCATACATAACAGGTGCACAAATAAAGTCTACTTTATTGTGTTATTAATTTGGGGACCAGATATTAAGAAAGGTTTTAGAGGCAGCAGGAAAATCCCATTCTTTTTTTGTTTGTTTTGTTTTGTTTTTGTGAGGAGGATCAGCCTTGAGCTAACATCTATGGCAGTCCTCCTTTTTTTCTTTTTTTTTTTTTTTGCTGAGAAAGACTGGCCCTGGGCTAACATCTGTGCCCATCTTCCTCCACTTTATATGGGACTCTGCCACAGCGTGGCCTGACAAGCAGTGCATCGGTGTGCGCCCGGGATCCAAACCCGGGCCGCCAGCAGCGGAGCGCATGCACTTACCCGCTACGCGACGAGGCCAGCCCCAAAAATCCTATTCTGAGGAAGCCAGCCAGGCTGTGGCCCCGAGACATCGTCAGCATGAGAAGAGCCGTGTCCTTGTGTGTTCAGAGTGCGTTCCCCTCCAGCCTCCTCTGCCTGGATCCTCAGACCCTGTTCCTTTTTGAAGTGTGATAGTTATAGTCTGTGTTCATAAAGAATAACTTAGAAAAGAATATTCTTCTCTTAGTAGATAATATCTACTATTTTTTCAGTAGGTAGAGATGGAAGTGTCATCCCCCCAGTTTACAGTGAGAAAAATCTCTTGAATTTTCCATCTCATGTTGTTCCTTTTTCATCGTTCTTTTCTTAATTTATGTCGTTAATCAGAAAATTACAAATGTATGTAATTTTAAACAGATATATTTCTCACAAATGTAAAGTAAAATTATACTGGGTATCTGTCATCAGAAATAACCAACTATATTTGCCACAATATTATAATTGTAACTTCTTTTAACTCTTAGAAAAGTGGAAAATGAGGACATGAATAAAGACCAGATCTTGCTGGAAAAGGAAGCTGAGGTAAGTAAAAAAGTACTATTTTAAGTCTAAAGCTGTTTAGTTTACATCCAAAAATGTTATTTGTTATATTTAATAATATATTTATTTAATTATAATTTTCTTTCCTTATTTTTTTGAGAAGGAATATGTTACATGTAACTAATCTATTTTATTATATATACATCTATACATAATAATATACATATTTATATACATAATATGCATATTGCTTTACATATATTATCTCATTTAATCTCCAATAGCAATTTAGTCAAAAAACTTGACAATACTGAGAATTTAGTAGCATAACTTATTTTTGTAAAATGTTCAAAAATCAGTAGTTTTCCTGTACATAGACAGTAACCAATTGGAAGATATAATGAAAGAAACTGCCATTCACAACCATTAACAAAAATTTAAGCAAAAATAGGTAGGGCTCATTTGGGGGAAGAAACTAGAAAACTACTGAAAACAATTTTCAAAATTTTAATAGACACATAACTTTTTAGGTAGGATGCTCAATGCGAAGATCCCAGTTCTCTCTAAATTAATCTCTAAATTTAATGCAATTCCAGCGGAGTTGTGTTTGCTAAGTTCTTTCTTTTAGAATGAGCTTGATAAAGTAATTCTAAGGTTTATTTTAAAGACTAAGCATAGGAAACACAGGAAGCTCTGTAAAAATAGGACTGTTGAAAAGAGGCTTGCTTTACTGGTTATGAAAACGTCAGGGGACAGTGGTCATCCAGAGTGTTGAGTACAGGTATGACAGGCTGATTAAATACACGTCTGGAAATAGGTCACAAGTATGGACATGTGCTCTGTGGTAAAGGTGTCGCTGAGATCTGTTAGAGCTGTGGAATCCAAACATTCCGTAAATAATAGCATAACGGGCCAGCCTTTTGGAAACAAAAATAAAACTCTCGTCTTTGGCCAAATTAATTTAATATGGATCAAATATTTAAATGTTAAAAACATAGCTACAAAGTTACCTGGAGAAAATTTAGGTAAATGTTTTATAACACTTGCTTGGAGGCCTTTCTGAACACATAGATACCGTAATGATAAAATGATAAGAATAAGGGAGGATGAGCCTTAACAATTTGAAAGCTAGGCCCTCATTGCCCTCCAGAAAAACTGGACCGGTCCCACTCCCCCTTATTACACGTGCCCCACTGGGTAGCTGAAGTCTCTTCCCCACCTTTTAAGTTAAAAAATATTTCATGTTGTTTTGTCTTTCTTTACTTATTTCTTCTATTTATGGGTAATTTCTGTTTCTTACTTGAATTGCACATTCTTGTCATTTGCTTGGTTTTCTATTGAGTTGTTGGTCCTTTCACTGATTATGCGAGTTCTTTGAATATTAACTCTGTCATGTTTTGGGAAAGCGTAGAAGTTGAAATTTTAGGGATCACAGAACATCCATAAAGGATGTTCAGGGACAACAGACTCTGAGAACCAGTAACAAGTCCACACGTCTTTTTTCCACAGCTTCGCCGCATGCAGGAGATGATTGCAAGGATGCAGGCACAGATGCAGATGCAGATGCAGGGTGGGGACGGCGACAGTGGGGTTCACGGGCACCACGTGTAAGGTAATAATAAAGCCTAGAAAACAGGCAATTGTTACTACGTCTCAACTTGAATATAATGGCAGGCGCCTCCTCCTCAAGTCTGATTCATGTTTTGCATTTTGAAGCTCTGTTTTTAACTATGTCGCCAGCCTGAAAGGAGAAAGGGTGGCTCCTAAAACACAGAATCTTTTCCTCCATCCCTCCTGTCTAGTAAAGATTTTGAATATTTTCTAAACTTATAAATACCATTAACAATAGAAGAAACATTATATATTAAAATAACTTTTATTAGTCATACAATTAGAAATTTAATAGAGCTGAAAACATCTCTTCAAAGAGAATTTTTAAAGCATTACTAAAATGGCTTATACAGACCCAAGGTCAAGATGCTGTGAAGGGGCAAATTATGTCAGGTAGGTCAGGGTTACCTTGATGGAGACTGCTGACCTCCCGCTCCTCGCCACAGCCCTGCTCCCACCAGTGGTAATCAGTGAATCACAAAGATGTCTGGCCTGACGTACACTGGCCTCCCTGCTTGAAGGGAATCTGCAGACACCAGGAACCCAGGACTAGGAAAAGGCAAATGTCCCCTTCCCAGTATCCTGTGGATAGGTGGGGCATTCAGAGCTGTCCAGGTGGCTGCTGTTACCACCTCCCAGAGATGGAGGGAGAGGTAAAGTCGATAAAGACCAGTTGCATGGGGTTGGGGTGGAGGCACACCTGCTCCATGGAAGAGAGATGTTTGGGGCTGGAAAGAGAGAGTTTGAACTGGCACAGATCTGGGGAGGAGAAGCTGGGGGTGTAGGAGAGTCTCCATTGCAAGTTGGGGACCTGATCATAGAGGCAGAGAGTGTTGATGAAAATAGGGAGGTGATGTGATGACATGAGTGACACGAGGCTTAGCTGTGACACATGAAGGATTGATGAGACAGAAGCCCCTGCCCTTGTGTGGCGTATTGGGAAAGGTTTTAGCTGTGAAATATATGCACAAAAAGAAACAAAGACATATGTACAATATAACCAGTTACTATAAAGGGAACATTCATGTAATCCCACTTGTCCGAGTTGGTTGCTTTGCTTTCATTATCATGTTGAACCCTTAGAACAGTCCCAAGAGTATGTGCTGAGGTCATACTTCACCGATGAGGACATTGGTACTGTGCAAGGGTTTAAAATTATTTGCCTGTGGTCATATAACTAGTTAAATGACAGGATCTCCTGACTCCGGAGGTCAATTTTGCATAGGCAGCTTTGGTGCCTGGCTGGGGAAATGATGGTAAAATAGAAACGGGGACTCCTGAGGGGTAGGGCTCATTTGAGGTAGGAAGGAGTGACAGATGTTTGCTCTTTTCTCTGATCTTGCTTCTCTTTTTAAAGCTTTAATTATGGAATTATGAAAATTCTACTTTAGGGACATAAAATTAATTTATATTTCTGTATGTTTTTCAGTTTTGCCATACTCCCAATTTCCAAGAGCCTCATAAAGGACATTTTCTTTTCTTTTAATTTTTTGTTTATTGCAGTAACATTGGTTTATAACATTGTATAAATTTCAGGTGTACATCATTATACTTCTATTTCTGCATAGATTACATCATGTTCACCACCAAAATACTAATTACAACCCATCACCACACACATGTGCCAAATTATCCCTTTTGCCCTCCTCCCTCCCCCTTCCCTTCTGGTAACCACCAATCCAATCTCTGTCTCTATGTGTTTGTTTATTGTTGTTATTACCTACTACTTAATGAAGGAAATCATATGGTAGTTGACCTTCTCCCTCTGACTTATTTCACTTTGCATTATACCCTCAATGTCCATCCATGTTGTCACAAATGGCTGGATTTCATCGTTTCTTGTGGCTGAGTAGTATTCCATTGTGTATATATACCACATCTTCTTTATCCATTCGTCCCTTGATGGGCACTTAGGTTGCTTCCAAGTCTTGGCAGTTGTGAATAACGCTGCAGTGAACACAGGGGTGCATGTATCTTTATGCATTGGTGTTTTCAAGTTCTTTGGATAAATACCCAGCAGTGGAATAGCTGGATCATATGGTAGTTCTATCCTTGATTTTTTGAGGAATCTCCATACAGTTTTCCATAGTGGCTGCACCAGTTTGCACTCCCACCAGCCGTGTATGAGAGTTCCCCTCTCTCCACATCCTCTCCAACACATGTTGTTTCCTGTCTTGTTAATTACAGCCATTCTGACAGGCGTGAGGTGATATCTCATTGTAGTTTTGATTTGCATTTCCCTGATAGTTAATGATTTTGAACATCTTTTCATGTGTCTGTTGGCCATAATAAAGGACATTTTCATTAGTTAACTCTGTGGTCATATTAGCCCTACCTTCTGCTCAATTTGTGTCCTTTGTTAGACAGAAAAATAATACTATGAGTGGTCAAAGCAGCAGCGTTGCGTCACTCCCATTTAAGTGTGTTGTGTTTTGTTTTTCCAGAAAACACATGGCAAGATAAAACATTCGGATGAGTAACAGAGCTGCGTGTTTTCAGGAGATCGTTGAAGGGTGCCCGTCCACATTTTACAGTACCTGTGCCTGAGAATTTAATTTTTTTTCAACTTTTGATGTGTTATTTTGTATGAAGTACTTTTAACATTTGTATTTCATTGCTATGTTATACTTTATATTTTGTGAGGTGAACTTCCATTTTCATTTTTCTTCCACCTTTACTAACCACTAATGTTAGCATGTATAGTTAATATTGAATTTTTTTTATTTGGCTGGCCTGACTAATCGTTGAGGAGCACTCTTGATTTTTTCTAGAACATTCAGATTTACCCAGAATGTTCCTGAGTGGTAGAGACACGGACCTAGTGATACAGACCTGGTGCAAGGCCATTTATTCACCAAGTTGCACCATGTGGAGATTCTTCACTTCTTTGCTTTTGTTGGAGCACAACACCTAAAACCAGTTTTGCTGCTGTAATTCAATACTGTTCATTCATCTGCACATTTATCTGTTTACCAAATGAAACAGAATCGAATTATCTAATGAGATATATGTTTATACTTAACTTTTTTAAAAACATGCTTTTAGAGGTGAATTTTAAGAAGTCTCTGGATTCTGAAGCTAGGTCATTTTTTAAACCACTGTACAGAGAGAGCTCGCCACAAGCCACTCTTTGCAGCGTCCTCCACTGATCCTGGCTCGCCTCCGCTTGGGAGATCAAAGCATCCACGAGCTCCGGTTTTCTTGTTACAACTGAGGTTCTTACCTACTCAATAAACTTTTTACTCAAATTAAAAAATAACTTTTTAAGAAAAATTAACAATTGATCTATTCAGAAACCAACTTTTTAATATTTTTATACTGCACTTTAATGTATTTTTCATAACTGCGGGTTTAGAAGATCTGCTTCAGCAGTGGAAATCAGGGTCCTTTGGTGGATGGGCCTCTGAACCCAGACCTGTGATAGGCCCTGAGGCCTCAGTCCTGAAGCTCAAAATGCCAACAGGTTTTTCCAGTTTGACTTTTCCTTCAACTGTTTCTTTTTGAATGGTTTTCTGAAGGGAGGCAAATAGCAGCGATCGTTTTTTTATGTGCAGACTGTCTCGTCTATTTTCAGCCTCTGTCATTTCGTTCATTATGTGTAATACAGGTTTCTCTATGTATCGTGTAAGAATGAAAGACATTTCAAACCTGCACCGGGGGCTGGTTGACAGGTGCCACCAGTAGAAGCTGCACCTGATCTGCTTTCTGTGCTCTGTGGCCCTCACCCTTCCCTTCCCTCCTATTGTGTCTTCCTGTCTTGCACTCCGAGGGGCGCTGATGCTCCAGAGGTTGCTCCTTTCAACATTTCTACTGACGTCGGGGAATTGATTCCCAGAAAGTGACAAATGAAAGGAGACCCGGAGGGAGCAGGTGCTGGTTCAGTATTTTCATTTTGCTAAAACAGGAGGAGTTGAGCTGGAGAAAATGCTTAATCCAAGGATGAGGAGGGTTTTTGTTTTGTCCAGACAAAAAATGAGAAGGTAAAAATACATTTGTTACAAAGGTGTACTACAGAAAAGTATCAGGTGTTATTGCTAACTTTGCCCCTTTCCTGTTGCATAATTGTGAATAGTCAGAAACTGTAGGGTTAGGCACATTGTGCAAAGTTTTTACCAAGAAAAAGTGTTCTGTGACTTTAGAGCACCTCCATGCAAGGCCAATTATTTGGGTTATTCTGGCATTTATTAACTATGCTAGTAAAAGCTGTCGGGGGGGAGGGAGGCATTTGCAAGTGGTCAGCATAATCCCTGAGTATGTTCAAGTGTAACTACTGCTCAGGGCCAGCTGCCACCTAATGATGGTTGTGCAGGGGTGGGGGACCTACACTGTTACACTCTTAAATCCTTTTGTTTTGCTACCCAAATCTAAATAAATACTTTTTCTAATAATTGCTCTTTTACTAAGAGAGAGTCTTTACCTATAGAAATGTATTTTGAAAGTTACTTTACATAGCAATTTTTTATCCATTGAAACTAACCTTTTATCAATAAAGCATTATTGTTTAGATATTAAGTGAGTAGTCCTCATTATTGGCTCTTTACAAGGGAAAACTGGAAGGTCTTCTGGGAAAGGTTCAAAGTGCTGCAAAGGTCTGTGTATAAAATTGGGAAGAATTATTTGCACCAGTAACATCAGCACCCAACAACTTTGTATTGGCGATCCCAGCTCCAAGGAAGAGCCATAAAGACTGGAAAGGAATTATTTACAGGTGATCTGATCATCTATTTAAAGTGAAAGAATGGGGCTGGCCCGGTGGCTTAGCGGTTGAGTGCGTGCGCTCTGCTGCTGGCGGCCCGGGTTCGGATCCCGGGCGTGCATGCACCGACGCACTGCTTCTCCAGCCATGCTGAGGCCGCGTCCCACGTACAGCAACTAGAAGGATGTGCAACTATGACATACAACTATCTACTGGGGCTTTGGGGGAAAAAAACAAATAAATAAAATTAAAAAAAAAAAAAGTGAAAGAATGTCTGATAAAAACAAGAGTTCAGTGATACTCTACTCACTAATTAGAAAATGTAGTGGGAAAAAAAGATCTCATTCACTGTGGCAACAATGACTAAAAACCTGGAAATAGTGATTGACTGAAGAAGAGAGAAAGTTCCTAAGGCTTATTAGAGAAAAATTTTAAAACGGAGACTACTGTAAGCCTGATGTGTGTGGGTGGACGGGCCGCTTGCTGCCCACTCCGCTGACCACCCCAGGACCGTCTGGGCCCCTTTCCTTCCTTGTGTCAGCGCTTCCTGAGCCCCTGCCTAGACCCCTGGGGAGTGAAGCTTTCGCTGTCTCTAGTTCCTCCTCTCCAGAGGGTCACCCGCCCTTCTGACAGGCTGTCCCCCGCGCGGGCCCCACTGGCGCTGCACACCTAGTGGGGAGGTCTTGTCCCGGGGCGTGTGCGTTCTCCTGGGGGCAGCGATGACAGTCCTCAGGGTTCTGATGTCTGGGCTGGCGGCTGGAGGCCCAGCCGTTTAGAGAAAAAGCCCGGAGGGAGAGGCGAGAGAAAGCAGGGGGGAGGGGCTGCCTCCCACAGCTGAGCCCCTTTCACGGTGTGCCCGCCAGAGCGAGGTCTATGACGAGCCTCGGATCCTGAGGCGGCCCCGCGGGGAGCGGCAATTCCTCCCACCTCTGTTTTTGGGGAACCAGGAGTCGCGCTTTGCACTGTAGGAATCGTCCCCTGGAGGACGAGTCCAGGTCAATCCTGGGTTTATCCCCACGACAGCCAAATGGGGGCGTCGGACAGCGGCGGGTGCCAGGACCCGGCTTGGAGGACACGTTGGGCGGGATCTCAAAGGATGTCCAGGAGTCACCCTCGAAGGATAAGAGGTGTGTCATCCTGCGAGCCGCAGGCCTGGGAGGCCCAGGACGTGGTGTCATGTTTCCATTCTCGGGTGGAGGTCGCGAGACTAGAGGGGGACCGCGAAGGCTGGGAGGGCCGTGGGCCTCCTACCCAGCACGGCCCGTCTCCGCCGCAGCACATCCTCGCGTGGCCCTCAGTGGCCAGGGTGCCAGTAGCCCCAGGAGGAGTGCAATGGGTGGGAGGTAAGGCTGGCGGCCATGCGCTGCGGCGGAGGGAGCCCGGTCGACGGGAGCCGCGCCCAGCCCAGGGAGAAGAGGCCGGTCCAGGACCGAGTCCCGCCCCCAGAAGCCGAGACCTGCCCAATACCTAGTCTGCGTCTCCTGAGCTGAGGCCCCGCCCAAGACCGAGTCTCGGCTCCCCGAGTCGAGGCCCCTCCCAGGGCAGAGTGCCGCCCAGCGAGCCTAGTCCCCGTTCGCCCCGCCCCCCCGGCCGTTCACCAATCAGAACTCGGTGCCGCGCTTCCAGGCTGCCGTCCACGGAGGCCCCGCCCCAGCGGCCCACAGGCCAATCGGCGGCGCGTCCGCGGGGGCGGGG